ATAGTGGAAAGATGGAGTGCAGATTGGGTTCTACATGGCTCACAATAGATGAAGAAGCATTGAACATCGAATTCTTTGAGAACTCCGTACTGTTTGGCGGTCACAGCCAAACAAGCAATGTGGAACCAGCTGGAACAGCCCTGGTACTGGACGGCTTTCGTCCGACGTGTGACATTGCAGTTACATTGAAGACATTTAGTAGAATTCGTCATTTTGAGAAATAAGTGGATTCCAAATAAAAAAGATCGAATAAAGAAGATTTGTATGATGAATACAAAGACTGAAAGCCTTTCTTCTTGTAAATAGATCGATTTATAGAAATCTTCCACGTTGTCTCAAAATTTGAACCAACCGCGGTCAAAGTCAAGGTGATTGAATTCGGAAATTTGATCTGGCTCCAGTGTGGCTGTCCTTTTGCCTAGCTTCAGCGTTTTTTGCAGACGGAAGTTTTTCTATCATGATAGGTTGCTCCGTAGCACTTTACTTCTAAAGACTTCTCTCAATCGTTATTTTTTTTCTGAAAGCTGATGTGTCACCAATGCCGTCATCTACCCTTTCGTGTCCACATAGCGTTACAGTTAGCCTGCTTGCGTCATGATGCACCGAAGCCTTATAAGTAATTTCGCAGGAGAAGTTGCCATAAAAGGTAAAAGTTGTTTTCCTTGCCAGGTCAACTATAATTGGCGAAAGCGTCGCTCGATTGCTGGCTTTCCTGGGCCACGACATTCTCAAACTGAATCATCTTGGAGATTGGGGTACTCAGTTTGGCATGTTGATCGCCCACCTGCACGACACCTTTAAGGACCTGGGTGATCAGCCACTGCCCATATCTGATTTGCAGACATTCTACAAAGCTTCCAAAAAGCGGTTCGATGAAGATGACGCATTTAAGAAACGTGCATATGAAGCTGTTGTCAAGTTGCAAGCCCACGATCCGCTCTACATTCGGGATTGGAACAAGATTTGTGACATCTCCAAACGGGGTATGTGCTTGTGCATGTTGTCCCTTCTATTGGATCCATGAGCCACCTGCTCCCAGTTATTTATTTTTTCCCTCTGTT